AAAGAGAGACGTGCAAAACATGCAGAGCGGGGGTAGGCGAGGACTGGGATTGAGAACCGCTGGTCTAGAACAATTCTTACAAATATAACACGACGTAGCTGGGTGCCGCGGACAGATGCCGAACGGCACCGCCGGCGTGCCTACACTCATAGAAAATAATGTATTTGAATTTTAAAGACATGGCGCAAAGCTGCGCTTCTCGTCCGGTGTGTGACCGCCGGATTCGCCAAAAAAGCTTTTGTTGAAAGACGGCGCAAGGGGCGTGGCAATACTGAAACACTGTCTAGGCTGTTCGCCAATCACAACACACTGGGACAGCTAACCAATCACAACACATTTTGTTTTTCGGAAGGCGGACCTTCATCAAAGCCGGAACTAATCGAGCCGTTTGTGCCAGGATGGGGAGAAAGGTATTTTAATAATGTAAATTATGTGAAAAATAATGTGTTTTTCGAACCACCAAGCATGAGAGCATGTTCTAGTACACCCCCAAAACAAAATCAAGACTTTGTAAAAGAGCATAATAGGACCCCTTTAATGATTTATCTTTCTTAACCACTCATTTACTACATTTGAGGGAGAAATGTTTGTTTTAAAAGTAAGTATGAACAATAGCCTGGCTATGGGGGATATTTTCATGACACCGTTTTCAACTAAAACCAGAAAATGTTTTATGTGTTTTGGCCATCATGACAACTGCGTTTTGGGGGCCTGAAAACACAGTCTTTTGAAAATGGTTGTGAAAAAAAGTGCAAGTTTTTAAAAATGATACCATTATCGTCTCTTTGTAAAGGTGCGTAGTGTTTAATGTGACATCGCCAACTACTGGTCTGGCATGCAGCCTACAATGTTTTTTTAGTCGTTTTAGCCAATTCATGTGAACGGTATCATTTTGACAGCCTTTTCATTTGTTTGCAAAACTTTTCAAAAACGCAAAGGAAAAGCTTTTCTGTTTTTAGTACATCTTTGTCGTGTAAATGTACCCTAAGTCTCACGGCATAATACCTATGGCAACAGTTTTTTGGTTTTGATACGGTCAAGTACGGTGGCTGAGAAGTGCTAAACAAATCACAATTCTGAAAACAAAATAACAAATTACAAACGCAAATGCAAGTCTAAAAAACTAAATAACAATTCAGAAAGCACAACAACAATTCAGAAAACATTATAACAAGTCAAAAAACACAAAGACAAATCCGAAAACAAATGAACAAGTCAGAAAACACAACGACAAATCAGACAAACCGGAAGAGGTAGGTATAGTTTGAGACAGCGCCATTGGTTTGGGATTACTCACCGCTGACTGGACGAGACATCTGTCAATCACCGTATACAGGAAGAACCAGCCGAAGAACAGCAGAGCCCTGATAGAAAGTTCGGAGATGGTATTAAAGTAGCTCAGTTTAAATGTATTGTATGAATTGCCCTTACTATGGAATTAAAAATACGGAGTGTATATTTACATTTAGTTAAAAGTGGCTGTAAAACATCAGCTCCAGTGGCGCCGATAGATAAGTGCGTGTCGTTGGCTTTTTGTCGTGATCGACCCGGGTTCGATCCCGCCTTTTGCCGAACTTTTTTTTTCTCCCTTTTCAAATCTCGTATCACATTGTAAAGGCATTTATTTTCAATAAAAATTAAGGAAATAATCAAAAAGTTGAAAATAAAGTATCGGGTAGGTTTAGGGTAGGTGTAAAAAGTTAAAAGTGGCTATAAAACATCAGCTCCAGTGGCGCAGATAGCTAAGTGCCTGTCGTTGGCTTTTTGTCGTGATCGACCCGTGTTTGATCCCGCCTTTTGACGAACTTTTTTTCCCTCCCTTTTCAAATCTCGTATCACATCGTAAAGGCATTTATTTTCAATAAAAATTAAGGAAATAATCAAAAAGTTGAAAATAAAGTATCGGGTAGGGTTAGGGTAGGTGTAGGGAGGGCTTTATTGTACCAATAAGGTGGCATCCATTTAATAATTAAAATTAAAATCATAATTTACACTCAATACATTATTATTGCATACTGTTTTATAATGTACTACAATACTGAAGTGCAGATAATTGCCACTATTTGCAACAATTAGTATACTTGATAGAAGAAATTCTGCTATTTTAACATAGTGTAAATAGGTATTTGCACTTAGTGTAAATAGCATATTGCTAAAAATACTGCTATTTTCACTTAGTGTAAATAGAATCCATTGCTAATACGAGATTTGAAAAGGGAGGAAAAAAAAGTTTGGCAATCGAAAGGGTTCTTTCTACCAGGACTCTGCTGTTCTTCTCAGGACTTCTAATGTTTTCTGAATTGCTGTTGTGTTTTCTGAATTGTTATTTGGTTTTTTAGACTTGCATTTGCTTTTGTAATTTGTTATTTTGTTTTCAGAATTGTGATTTGTTTAGCACTTCTCGGCCACCGTAGTCAAGTGAGTCAGTCACCGATTAAATTCAGCGTTTGTGGTTGATTTACTAAAAAGAATCGGCACATAAGTGTAATGTCTCTGAGAATTGGAGCATGTTGGTCAAGCATGTTTACTTATTCACTAAAAAGAACCGAGAAAAGATTAATTCGCTAGTTGTTACATTTTGCGCTGTAGATCCAGGATCATTTTTTAGAATCTGAAAAAGACATTTTTTTGTGGTTCCCCAATTCAAAAACCAAATCGTGCAACTTTTGATTGTACTGTCATCAACATATCCCTATGAATTTAGTGATGCATAAAACTCTCCGGAATTGCCCATGTGAAGGTCTCCATGGAGGAAATCATCGAAAATGTCGACGTTCCTGTTCTCCAGGGTCCGATTTTTCATGCATCGCTTCTTGCCCATATCTTTGCATATGAAGGCCGTAAGTAGCACATTGGTTGAGCCAGGGGCGCTGTGCGTGGAGAAACTCCGAGATTAGACGAGAGGCTTCGTCCATTCAGCAGCGCGGAGAGCAGCCAGCGCGCTCCGCTCCGCTCCCTCTGTGGGCGGTGTTTCAAACGAGCGGATTCGCGAGGAACGTGGGAGCTGTCATTGCTGTAAAACACATTTGCGGAGACCAGCATCACCGTTGACAGCAATTACAAGTGCTGGGATTATGCTCATTTAAACGATCACTTCTTGATAGGTGCCTTCATAACATGCTGCTCCGCATATAATCAAATGACATTTTCTTTAGATTCGCCAGATCTGAAGGGGAATTTTAGACAGACACAAGCTGATCATGAAGTGGGATATTTTACTCCTCTCTTGTGTTTTAGAGAAAAATACCGGATGCATCCGTTGAACGAAGGTATTTTCCGCTGGATTAACAAAGGACATTATTTTTGATACTTACTCTCCGTGCAAAATTACTGGTTTATTGCCGTTTTCGGGGAACAAAGATGTTCTTGTGAAGTCTCAGGCGAAACATCGTGTCGTTCGTTTAGCCTGGTGCCTCAATTGCAAAATGCTGTGGTGCTGATGAGAGACTGTTCCTCGAAAACAGTTTTTTCACAACTCAGAATGACAAACAAATAGCTCTCCGCTTAAGCGATGGAAACACTGTGAGGTTTCTTACTGAACTTGAGAAGCAGCAACAGCGACTGCAACAGTCTCGACACCACAGAAATCAGCACATAATAATGGTATGGGCTTCTGAAGTCGATTGGAGCATGGAGTCCGCGCACCAGGCAGGCTAGGAGGTTTTACGAGACACGCTAAGAACCCTGTTTTGACTCCCCATCCTGAAATGAGGCAAAATGTTGATGTGTGACAGAGGAGTCCAAATGCTCATCACCACAGTGGGCGCGTTCGCCGCGTTCAGCCTGATGACTATCGCTGTGGGAACGGACTACTGGCTGTACTCACGAGGAGTGTGCCGGGTCAAAAGTAATAACGAGAACGAGACGAGCAGGAAGAATGAGGAAGTCATGACCCACTCCGGACTGTGGAGAACCTGCTGTCTAGAAGGTAAGAGATTTATCCAAGGGGTCCAACTTATGTGCTTTTCTATCTATCTATCTATCTATCTATCTATCTATCTATCTATCTATCTATCTATCTATCTATCTATCTGTCTGTCTGTCTGTCTAGATTCTAGTAGACTTGCTTTTCTGGAAAAGGGGGTTTTCACAGCGATGCCATAGAAGAACCGGTTTTGGTTCCCCAAAGAACCTTGTTGACCAGTTCTTAAAAGAACCATGTTTTTTTCTTTGTGTGAAGAATATTTTAATAATCTAAAGAACCTTTTTCCACTGTAAAGAACCTTTTGTGGAATGAAAAGGTTCCATGGATGGTAAAGGATCTTTGTGGAACCACTGATGGCAATAAAGAACCTTTATTTTTAACACAAGCCTATACGCTTGTGTTCATTCTATCCTATCTAACTGATGATTAAACTGAGGATTATTTAATGTGACACATTGGAAGCACTACTAACCTTAGTCTGTCACCAGAATTTATTTTTATACTACAGCCTATTTAGTTCAGTCCTAACTGTTTAAATGATTTTTTTGCAAATCGGGTCTTTTACATAGGCAGCATGATGATTGCAGCTGTCATATAACCAATAGATCAGGGCTAAATTGTCTAATTACTCACTTGTCAATTCAAAATAAGATAGGCAATCATATTGATTACCTTATATTGCAGTTCAATGAAAGCACTCTATTCTGTGGAGTATAAATGTCTCAGTATTGCAAGCTGTTGACACGGAACAGAATAATTGGCTAATGCTGTTAGTGTCATTGAATCTAGAAGCCTTAAAATTATGAAAATATATATATTTTGGGGTGCAGTGTATTCACGCATAAAGCTGAAATCAGCCCGTCTGTTATGTCAGTCAAGATGCTCTGAACAGACTGTTGTCTCACCTCACACACAAAGCAGCTTTAAAAGGCTTTTTGAGGGGAAATCAAAGTCAATTCAAATAAGAAGCCTCCAGCCTTACACAAGTACAGTGAGCTCAACAAAACACCCTGTGGAGTTTAAAACATACCCTGTTATTCAAATGTACATCATATACGCCCAAAACATGGTGATGGCTTCTTCCTTTTGCTTATCCTCTTCCTCTGTTTTCCTCGTTTTCCTCCTTATCTTCCCTCTCTTTCCTTGCCTTTGTCCTCTGGACGGATTAATTTTAATTCCATGCCGTTTTGGTTTTGGCAGCCCTGACACTGCTTGACTGGGAGCGAAATAATGTACTTCATAATGTCTTTTCAAACTTTGATTAATCTCCTGCCCCAGGGAACGCAGAGAGGTGACATGACTGCAGTGTGATGGGAAGATCCTCATCTTTAATTGAAAGGGATGGGCGCAGTCCAATAGATGTGGCCATGGCAGATTACACAAATCCAAGTGATTGACTTTTCAGTATTAATTTAATTGAAGTGTATGTCACTGTCACCCAGTGCACAGATACCCACAGCCATTTTTGATCCACTTTAAATCTCAAAAAGATTCTCATGAATTATTTGCTTAATATCAACGAGGGATTGATCCATCTAAGTAGAAACCTATCACTCCGAGTCATGGTCTAGGCTTGTCTGTACATAAATCTTTGAGGAAGGTAATAATGAGGCTTTCTGCTGGACAAGACTACATGACTGCTCTCTGAATATAACCTTCAAGAGTGTGCTGCTCTACAGCCCTCTTCTCTCTACATCACTTCAAGCATGATGGCTTTGCTTTGCCTGTTGATGTTATTTAAAATCAACATGTAACCAACATTGACCCTTTTTACTTTCACATTTCTGCTCTTATTTCATCGAAAAAATGTTGGCCTTTGTAATCTTGAATTAAAATATCATTACTTACTCTTAATGGAAAAAGGCTTTCCTGTTGTGATGACATCAGGCCATGCAACCTATTTGATAATTGTTAAAATAGCCAATAGCCAAAAAGGTATGTAGACACATTTTTAGCAAACTCTCATTCGGTCTGCCTCCATGCTGGTATGAAATACTTACTTATCACAATCCAATTAATTCTCAATTGATAAAATCACATTTTACCCCTCATCAAATAGTCTTTCTAGATCAGAATGTGTTGAATTATGAAGATAAAAAGGGTTGCGAAACCAATTCAGATTGACTTTAAATATATTTTCCTTTATACACGTTGACTTATTGTTCTTGAGAGATTTTGGCCTCTTTGTGATTATTGGACTTATGTTTGAAATGATAGTTCACCAAAAAAATGAAAATTCTGTCATGATTTACTCACCCTCAAGTAATTTTTTAGCTAAAAAGATATCATGAAAAACAATTTTGCTTTTGTCCATAAATTGAAAATTTCTTTGCAGCTTTCTTTAGACCCTATGGACTTTTATTGATTTGCACAAAAAAAAAAAACATTGCTCAAAATATCTTCTTTTTTAAGTTCCATAAAGAAAGTCATACATGTTTGGAAGTCATTAATTTTTGCGTGAACTATTACTTTTGATAGTTTAGATGCTTATAAATTTAAGGGTAAAGCATCAGAAGAGAGTTGTTTGCACTGAGAAAGAAAACTGTACAGGTGTACCAGTGCTTATTATTGAATAGCCATGAGTGCAACATTAGTGTTAGCGAAGGAGTGTAAGTTTGTGTTCGTGTTTTCAGTTGTCTGTCAAGTCACACTACCTTTGTCTTCAGCCTCCTTACATGCCCAGCAGCCAGGTGTGTTAAACGCTCTTGGGGAGTTCAAGTACAGCTCTGTGTGTCAATATTGTGTGCTTTTTGCTGTGTATATACTCTTGTGTGCCAAGCAGCACTGATCGAGACTTCCTGGAAAAGCTGTGAAATAAAGTGTGACTTGGATTTGATGGTCCGCTTAAGATCATAATTATTACCACATAATTACAGTTTAAATGCCAAAGGCTGATGGTACAGTCATATGTTTAAAGCAAACATCATATCAGACCATTAGAATTCATATGAATGATATGAATCAGCATGAGAATGTGATTCACTGCTCCAATTTTACATTGAAATACACAGTTAAAAAAAGGCATGACTTTATTAGCCCTGTTCTTTTCCAGATTATCCTTTATGGTTTTTTATGTATGGGGTTACAAAGACCACGTGTTTTACAATACTGTTAAAAAGTTTAAGGGTCAGTAAGATTTGTTTTTTCTTTTGCTTTTTCAGAAAGACATTGATCGTGAGGGTAAATTTTTTATGTATGTTACAAACAACAAAATGTTGTTCTTTTGAACTTTTTGATCTAAGATGCCTAAAAATATCAAATATCATGGTTTCAAAAAATATTCAACAAAACAGCCATTTAAAAAAATTATAAGAAATTGTAAGAAATGTTTCTTGAGCATATTAGCATATTAGAATAACTAGCATATTAGAATTATTTCTGAAGGATCATGTGACACTGAAGATTTCTGAAAATTCAGCTTTGCTTTCACAAGAATAAATTACATTTTAAAATACATGCAGTAAGCATAAGAGACGTGCAACTTAAAAAATCTTACTGGTAGTGTATGTCTAAAAATAATAATAGTAATTTCAAAATGAACCTTTCAGAATTATTTTAATATGCTCCTCTAATCTAATCAAAAACCCAGTCAGCAGATAATTTTGAAGCTTTAACCATCTGTTTTATCATAACGTAGATATGCACTTTTAGATATGTGATATATATAAAATATATATATATTATATATATATATCAAAACAAATGGCAGGAGTTTATTTGTACAGTGTCAGAGAATTCAGCATGTGAAAATCCATTACATTTAATCTTGTTTTATATCTTGGGTCTGTGAGACCCAAACAGAAATGATGCAACATTTTTCAGAAGAGAATTTTTGAAGCGTAAGTTAAAGTTGTGTTCATAATCAATTTTCAGAAGATTGGGAAAAGTCAAGAAGTATCAGCCCGATCCTTTAATATGAAGTATAATTTTCACGCTATTAAATCGGCCTCTAGGCCTCCCAAACAGAACATGAGGGTTAAATATATGGCGTGTTGTGTCGCATGTCATCATAGGGAGACGCATTAGCAGTTATGTACGTAATAATAAGGGAATGCTCCGGTGGAATTTAACACGGGTTCATATGCTGAATGGAGGTGTAAGATGAATGCAGTACGTCCTCAAGTGCAGGTGGACCTCATGGGAACGGTTTAGCCGTCCTCAGGATAAATGATGACCTGGGAACTGAGGTAAGGAGGGGGAGAGAGAGGCAAAGCAGGGAGTGATGAAGAGGGACTCTTCCTTCCAAGTGTGCACCCAAGCAAAGCCTGTCTCATACACTCTCATCACGCACACACATCTCCTTGGAAACCAGCCGCTCCCGCCTGCGAGATAGGCCCACTGCTCTATCTCCATACCTTCCCCCATCCTCAACCCTGCTTTCCGTCCTCCTCCTCCTCCCCTTGTTCACGTAAGCTTTGGAGAAACAAAAACACGACGTGCTGGCCGGCCATCACACATGCACCATTTCAGCACATTAAAGTAATTTCTGAATGATCATGTGACACTGAAGGCTGGGGTAATGAAAATTCAGCTTTAGAAATAAATCACATTTCACAAAATATTAATATTTCACAGTATTATGGTTTTTAGTATATTTTTGATCAAATAAATTCAGCATTTGCGAGCATATAAGAGACATCCTTCAAAAACATAAAATCTTAATTATTGCAAAGTCCAAACTTTATTAGATTTTGGCATGCATGTGGTTTCAGTTGCTCCTATATTTTTTTTGGTAAATTTAGAATACATTTCAGTATGAAAGTTATTGATGAATCATGATTTGTTTGTGAAAACGTTCATATGCACAGTTAGTGATGCATTGTCTATTCCTCAAAGAGTATTGTCTAGTATGTATATGCGATGGGAAACTCAGGGACCGTTTTAGTCCCACATTCCTCACTGTTTTTGGAGTGTAAGGCATTGCTAAAAGTACAGCGTACCCACCATGCACTGTGACAAACTGCAAAAGAGCACAATTTTGTATAGGCTGGGCTTCTGAAACC